GCCAATTGTTAGTGAGGGGGAAATAAAGCAGAGCAGAAGCTGCTTATCAGAGATCTGCATTTTGAGAGAAAAAATCACTGAATCCTGAGGCAGGAAGGATTCTCTGCAGAGCTTCAAGTACTCTCCTGACAATCTCATCATGCAGGAGCTGGGGCTAGGAGCTGGGCTTCTTCCTATAGCGAATACCGGGTTTGAAAAATTAACATAACAGGAATCCCCAGACTGCAGCAGTGCTGTAAAGCTTTAATTAAAACAAAACAAAACAAAATACATTAGTCAGACTGGCACAGATTGTTGTCTGTGAATTGTGATTTTTAGTAACAGTAGGAATGACTCAACACCCAGAGAACTCAAAAGTCCAAAAGTCTGGAAGAGTCTGAGGCAAAGCCTTCCCTGATCCCAGTCAGTTTGGAGAATGTCTGAAGTTCAGATCTTAATTTTGCCGAAGTTTGCAGTGTTTAGATTCACATGCCTTGTATTACAATGGATTAGACGAAGTCTCTCTTACCTTCATGAGACTCTTGATTTTGTTTGGATCTGTTTCTGGGAGGAAAGCTTCAGAGGAAGAACTGTGTGTCTTAGTGCAATTAGATGAAGAGCTGTATGCTTTTATTTTATTTTTTTTTAAATAACTGGAAAACATCATCAATCCAAACATCTCCAAGGTTTTGCCAAGCAGCTGTGAAGTTAACACTACCCGCACTTCTTTCTGGTCCACCTTCCTGGTGCATTGCATTCACTAATCACATGGCCAAGATATTATTAACACATCTGAACAAGATTCCTAACAGCTGGAGAGCCACATTGTATTTTGGGCAATCTAAGACGATGCCTCAGGGTAGCTCCTGCCTTGACACAAAGAGATAAATCTCTCAGCTTTTGTACCAGCTTTGCTCTTGCAGTGGATGGTGAGAACAGATGGAATGCAGTCGTGTCTGCTTGCAGGGGGTGCTGCATTCCCTGCGCCAGGAGACGCTCCCCAATGCATGGCTCCCGTGGGACCCCCGCTGGTGGCCCTGCACCACCGCAGCTCGCTTCAAGAAATTTGGGGAGCAGCTCCTCTCCATCCTCCCACAGTATCTCCCGCTTGGGTGGGAAGTGAGAGGCTCTGCCCATTGAAAGGAATGTGGCTACTGCATGGGGAAGGAGAGAGAACAAATACTACAGGGTCTCAGATGGATGATCTAAAATTGCCTTAAAACTGCCCTGATCAGCCACATAAAGCCCCAGGAAGGGTACTGCTGCTCAGCGGTCAGCACAGGCCAGGTCCCTTGCCAGTAGTTTATCTCTGCTGTGTCAAACTGAGCACATCTGTAACAGATAATCTAGTTCAGTTTGTAACCCTGAAATCGAGAACTGTATTACAGGGCATGTTGAGGCTGCTGAAGCTGTATAAGCAAAGTTTCCTAAATACACAAGAGGTAACAACCCTGTGTCCAAGGTGGCTCAATCAAATTCTGATCTATTACTCCAGTCAGCATCCCTTTAAGTGGTAAATGACATAAATCCATTTTCGCCACAGTTTGAGGTGTTTCTCCACTATCCCTCAGACTTTGTTGGGATTGAAGGCATATCAGAACTCCTGAACCTGTAAGCAAAAAGATGTCTGTGGTCACAGAGCTGCTTGACAGATAAGCCCCATGCCAGATTTGATTTTCATCAGAGAAAATACACTGAAGAGTCTGTAAAACTACTAATAATTTTAAGTAAAAGATAAAGCAATTCAATTGAAATAGCTGGGCAGCAAAGGGAGTGTAACTCCCTTACACAAAGGGAGTGTTGTGTAACAACTTACACAAAGAGTGTGTAAGTTGTAACGACAGGGGGTGGGGACCTTCTCTGTTACTGTGGAGTGCAAATCTGCTCTGTGAGCATGGAGTTACACAGAAATTTCAGTCCAACATTGAAGTAAAATGACCAGAGGTCACACAAACTTGACTCTGAGAAGTCACTAATCTGAACATTTTACAGGAGACATAAAACTGTAGCTGGGACAAGCAACTTTTCACATCTCTGCAGGGGCTTGAAGTGTAGCAGTGTTTTTCAGGCAGAACACAAGCCACATGTTGGTACCCACCTTAAAGAAAAGCAGAAAGGTGAGATACTCTAGAGGACACCTGCCAACGGTACAGAAACATCTCAGGAAAACAGGAAGAACTAAAAAACGAACAGTACAAGAATTAGAAAATGCAGAACACAACCACTACCAAGGAATGAAAAAGACCTGACCATAACATCTGGATAATTTTCTGCAGCATCTTCTTCCCTCAGCATGCTACCCCAAACCCGCCAAGCCACATTGCAGGGCAGCACAGCTTCCATGCCTGCGCCTGCTCGCAGCCTGCTGAGGTTTCAGTGCACAAAGCTCCACCTAGTGAGAGGACAGGCTGTACTACACATTCAGCACCCAAGGTAAGTTTGGACGGACTCGGCACAAAAAAATCTGGAAGGCAACAAACCCTTTAGCATTATGCTGCCTCGGTGCTGATAATCCATCACACACACATACACAAAGTCCCATCAGACGAGAGTACAGCCTCTCTATGTTCAGAAATACTTTCTTCCAGCACCACCTTGCTGAAGTGACTTTGTAAGAATGTAACTGAAGTGACATCACTTGGCTTTCATCAGCTGGCTGCTGCTCACCTCTCCAGGTGAGGGGACTGACCTGAAGCTCTGACTTCACTGGAACTCCAACTTCAAACCAACCTCCTCTTTCTGATGATCAAAACAGATACACCACTAGTGCTGTAGGTCCAAAAGCTTTAATACATGGTCCTTACTGTTTAGAAAAGTTATTGCATTAAATTCTAATACATAAATTTACCTGAATTTTAAAGAATAATTTTACACAATTTTGCCACAGCACCAAAGTAAAACAGATTTTATATACAGTTGTCTCAAAAAAACCAATATTAGTGCCTTCTCAAATTAGCAGAACTGTAGTTCATTCAGTAGTTACTGCAAATATCATTCAGTAGTTACTGCAAATCCCAACCTGAACAACACTATTGCCACAAGTGTACAACTCAGGAAAAGGAAAGTGCCATTCCAAAACTGAAATTTATTAAACTATGACTTGGCATACACTGATTTTTCTCTGTTAACCAAGTTAACATAAAAGGGTGTTTAGTTTAATTCCACACCATTTTCTTTATGTTAGTTTTTCTTTTGTGATTACTTAGAGTCACAAGTTACAAAATATCAATACCACTTTTAGCAGTTCATACAATCCACGCCTGTTTGAATTGTGACAGGCACAAGAACATGATGTTTGATGGCTCAAATGAAAAGATTCCCTGATGCATTAAAACCAACATCAGTGTAAGCCCACTGCTCCATGGATCACAGCAGAGACAAAATCAGCAGCTCAGTGTACCATAAATAGACTGATGAAGGGCTCAGTGAGAGGCATAACAGAGCATATGGCAAAATTACATTCTACATTTCACCCTCTGCTGAGGGTAAACTGCTATACCAGCTCACAACAGAAGCATGAAGAGAGCTCTCCTCCTTTTCAGCCTCATGTGAATGCTTGGGAATTGGGAAACTACCATTCAGCTTCTTGTATTAAATCCCCGAGCATCACAATAATCAGTCTAGAACTCCAGATCTAACTCTTCTCTTGCAAACACACACACACAAAGATAAGGCTCATCTGTATTTATTCTGCTTTCTTCTGCTGTTAAATAAAAAGAAATATATCCATGTTCACAGAAAAAAAAGCCATCTCTTCTCCCTCTCCTCCAAAATACCCATCACTACAGAGAGCTCTCTTGTCATTCACTTGGAAGTATTTCTCAGATTAGGTTTCCCACTTTAAACAGATGACAGAGATTGTATTACTTTGCTATATTTCACTAGGTTCTGACATCAAAAACAGTTCACTACTAAAATAACACCAATAGGACTTTCTCTCTCTTTGACAGAACATGTTACACAAGTTCTAACTCACTGTCCCTGTCCCTTAAAATAAACGTAGAGCTATTTCACCAGTTTTCAATCAATGCAAGCTGGGAGCAACAAGTTACCCTTTAAAAACATTCTGTATGACTTTTTTGTGAGTTTCTAGCAAAAGGCCCAAACATTGAAAAGCAAGTGAGCAGAGACAAGAGGATGCTTTGCAAAATCTGACAGTTCAAAAGGCACCCAAAGAGCAAGAGAACAAAACCCAGCCACTCAAGTGGAAACTGCATTGAACTAGCACTATGAAAATGGGGAGAAATTAAGAAACTTCGGTATAACAGCTACACAGAATGTTTTACTAGTGATACCTTTTGTTTGCCAAGGCATTCATTACCATGGTACAAACTGCAAGAGCTTTAATTTGAAAGTGCTATAGGAATAGGATATTTAATTATTCCAGTGAAGGACACTTCCTGAGGAACTGATCACAAGGTCCCTTAGCTGTAACATGATTTTCTCACAACTGTTTGCAGAGAAGCAGAAGTTTGCACAGCTTAAAAGTTGAAGCTGACAGCTTTCCAAAGCCATCCTTGACACAAGACGTGGCTTACTTTACTTTCACAGACATACACTGCATGAGACAGCCAACACCATTCAATCCAAACATTAAGAGCATTTGTATAAACTTTCCCCATCAACATTAAAATCACCAACCAAATCCTTGTCATTTCTGCAAAAAAGATAGCTCTTCTTGCTTATTGCTGTATTACAGGAAATGATGCTAGTTCTTGCAGGAGACAGTGTATATTTCGAAGTTCACATCTCTTACAAAAAGCCTCACAGTCTCTTCACTGGGTGTTGGTTCTGTACAGCAAAACTAGCATTCCATTTCTTCCAAATGAAACAGTCCCTTCAGCCCCTCTCCCTGCCCTGCATGTCTCAAGAGCATTTATGCCTCTGCACTATGGTTCCAACCAGGAGACAACAGCCCATAATGCATTTGTGACAACACCTCAAGCAACAGTGCACACTTCACTAAATGGACACGACCCAAATTAGATGCATGAGAAAACATGGAAGAGGAACACAAAGAGGAAGGGAAGCAATTTATTCTCACTTCTCTTGAAGCGAACAAATGGTTCTGACAGCAGGTTTGTTTTCAGACAGCTATAACTTAGGCTCACAGGCCAGCTTATTTAACCGAAGAAGCCCCTTCATCCAAATACCAGAACCTATACTAAAACCATTTTTATTTCAATCTGCCTCTGAAATTAATAATCTCAATGTTAAAGAAAAGTCTGCATTGCTACCACAAAAATCACATTGTGCAAATCCATGTCATTTATCTACAGTGCTGAGTCACATCTGGGTGGTGGATGTGCCTTCCTGAATACCACACCCTGGGAATGCTTCCGCATTTCCCCTCCTACCAGAACACTGCCTTAAAAAAGAACTGCTACAGTGACACGATGAGACTTGATCTTTTCCTGCCATCTGCTGTACATGTATTTAAGACTTGCACAAACAATTGGCCAAAATTTTTGTATTACAGTTATTCCTAAGTCACAAAGACTACACAAGCCCTTCGTACAGGATATGCTGTCCAAGCACACGTGACCTCCACCTCCTCATTTCCCTACACCCCATCCACCAAGTAAAGCATTGCATGCTTGCTGGGATTGATTCAAAGTCTTCAGGTTCTGGAATGCAGCAGACAAGAGTTCTGCATCTTTCAGTGACTCAAAAAAACCCTGTTTAGTTCACCTGTTCAATGTACAACATCTTCAGTAAGTGCTGCCACCTTGTTCCCGGGAACAGTTAGGTTCACTTCACACCACAGAGGTGGTACTTTCCGGATTTACACGCATCAATCTTGAGGCATTTCTCAGATCCTGCAGCTGCTTGGCTGGCTTTCCAACTCCTTCCTCAAACCTTTTTTCCACAACAGGAAGGACAGTTTCATACAGGAAAGAGGCGTTCTGCCTAATGAATGCTTTTTTCTCAGGGTCCTGTTCACACCGTAAACTGTAATCGACATGCTGGACAGCCACCAGGATGATTTCCACAAGACTCTCCAGGAGAACCATATGCAGCTCTGGAAAGTAAAGCTTTAATGCTTCCTCCAAGAAGGCCATAGTCTGCTTAGTGAAAGCTACTACAGTGTAACTGAGGTTGACCCAGCAGTCATCACCTGTGTATTGGTCAAAACTGCCCACCCCACAGCTCCTCATCTCCTCCCTGAGCTTCCCCAGCGCCTCTGGAGTCATCAGGTTCATCTTTCTCCACATCTCCTCAGAGTTGCGGTGCTTGGTGGCCTCGATGATGATGTCCTTGTAGCTCTGCAAAGCACCTTTGATATCCTTTACCAGGAGAGCGTGAATGATGAAGGTGAGATCCAGTCCAATCTCGCTCAGCTGCTTGCAGTGCTCTTTAGCCACCTGGGATAACAAAGAAAAGCAAAGGATGGTATTACCGTGCAGGCTCCCTTTACATTTTACACATTCATCAAATTTATCTCAGAAAACTGAGAAGGGTTACTCATACTTATTTCCCGTGCTTTAAGAATCTCATTAATGAGAAATTAGTAACTGAAAGATACACTGGCTGTCAAAAATACTCTCAACAATTACACACATAAGCTTTTTTTTCCCCTCCTCCCAATTCGCAGCTGAAACAAAGCATAACCTGAGAAAGTTAGTCTTGCAAAAAAAGTATGAAAATGTAGTTAAGGACAGCCTTGGAAAACAAAGAGAAAGTTTTGAAGTACTTGTAATTCAGGTGTAGCTCATGTAAATTTTAGGACCTTCTACTAGTTAAAGGCAAATTGAGAATCAACACATTTTGCATTCCTGATAAAGGCAGGGTTTTCCTTGACACGCATTATAACCTTAAGGCTTTCCTCTGTTAAACTGAAAAAAACAAAACAAACCTCAAATTAATATTGATCTTTCAATGCTCTCTGGAGACCCACACAAGAGTCAACAACTAAACTAGAGTTAGAAAAGATACTTTAAAGCTTTGAAGCCTTTGTTTCAGTTGCTGTGCCCCACCACCCCCGCGTTTGGACTCTCCTACCTTGACACACTCTGCCGCAGTTGACAAACTCTCTTTGCTATCAAATACTTGCTTACTGAAGGCATCTACAAACATCCTCATGGACGAGCGGGCCCAGACAACAAAGGCCGAGTAGCAGCCGTTGTTGCCGGCGAAGTCCGTCTCAAACTCCCTGGCCGTCTCCAGGAGGCTGGTGAAGAAGACATGGCAGAGCTTGTGGATGTAGAGCAGCGTGGCGCCCTCGATGCGCAGCTGCCGGATGGCGGTCTGCACCGCGGCTGCCCGGTTCTTCAGGAACAGCTCGCAGGCCTTGGTGGACTGGCCCAGGCGAATGAGCTGGGACACGGCTCGGCGAGTGGCCCGCGGCCCTCCTCGCAGCGAGCGGTCTGGAGACAGCTCGAACACCAGCACATCTGTGAGCTGCCGGACGCGCTCATCCACCTTGGCCCGCAGCTCCTTCACGGGCTGGCTCACAGGCTTGTCCGCCAGGTACTCGTTCAGTTTATCCAAGAGGTCCACCGCCCCCTCGAAGTCCCGCTGAGCAATGCAGACGTCCAGGTCCTCGGGCAGCTCCTGGATCCACTCAAGTGACAGGTCAACGACCTCCTCCTCAGCGGAAGGCTCATCCTCCTCCTCCTCGTCCTCGTCGAAGGGGTTGGTGGATTCGGGGGGCGTTGGGGCGGGCCGGGGCAGGGCCTCCTGCTCCAGGCGTCGCTTCTCGCTGAGGGCACGGTTGCGCTTGGTCTCCTCCAGCACCTCCAGCCACTCCTTCTTGATCTTGGCGTTCTCAGCCTGGAAGATGCGGCTCTCGGGGAACATGAGCAGCTTGAACATGTCCTTCATAGGCGGGTTGTCCTTGACGTTGACCACGGCCAGCCCGTCGAGAGGGTACAGGGCATCGTAGCGGTAGGCGCCGCGGCGGTTGGGCAGAGCGGTGGCCACGAGCAGGCAGTCGTTCATGAGGAAGGCGTGCACCCGCTGGATCTGCGCCATGTGGTCGGCGTCGTACTCCACCAGGTCGCCGTTGTAGACCAAGTACTTGCCAGGGCTCTCGGGCAGGAGGTCGCGGCAGCCCTCCACCTTCTCCAGGAGGGTGGTGAGAGTGCGCTGCCGCCCCTCCTCGTTGGCCGCCGCATCCTTGGCCGACAGCGGCAGGAAGGGGTCGGCGGCGGCGGCGCGGCGGGCGCCCAGCGCGGGGTCGTCGCGGTCGGCCTGGAGGAGCAGGGCCTGGGTGACGGCCTCCATGATGCCCTTCTGCTCGGTGAGGATGTGGCTGAGCTGGTACATCTCGCTCTCCAGGTAGCTGATCTCCCGCGCCGTCTCGATGAACTGCCGGTAGTTTTGGTAGACGTTGCGCTTCAGGCTCTGCGCCGTCTCCTCGCTCAGCGCCTGGATGCGCTGCCGGTGCTCCTGCAAGTCCCGGTCCCCGTCCGACTGCTGCGACAGCTGTTTCACGTACTCCCCCGCCGCGAAGCCGCCCGACTCCAGCTGCCGCCGCAGCCGGCTCCCGCCGCCGCCCTCGCCCAGCGACAGCGCCATGTCCGCGCCGCAGCCGCCGCCCGGTACCCGCCCCGCCGCCACCAGAGACACGACCCCGCGCCGCGCCTGCGCCCCGCGGCTCGGCGGCAGGAGCGGCTGCCCGCGGTGACGCGATGGAGCCGCGCCGGGCGGGGCGAGGGCGGAGGGAAGGGAAGGAAGGGAAGGACGGGAAGAATGATGCGGGACGCTGGCGGCGCGCGCACTCGGAAGGACGCGGCAGCCGCAGCCCGCGGGTCGGTGCTGCGCGTGCGCCGCGGCGGCTGCGGCTTCCGATTGCGGCTCTGCCGGCCGACGGGAGCCGCGCTCGGGATGGAGGACGAGGATTTCTTGTTGGCGCTCAGGCTGCAGAGGGAGTGGGAAGAGCAGGACAAGGCGGCGGCGGCAGCAGCAGCAGCAGCAGCAGCAGCAAAGCGCCCTGATGTCTCTCCGTACCGCTCATCCCTCCGCCCGCTGTCGGTGGTGGACGAGGCGTGGGAGCTGCTGGACCCCAGCCCCGACGTTCATGGCCTGTTCGTGCACTTCAACCAGACGCTCTTCTGGGGCAAACTGGAGGCTGTCACGGTGTCCTGGAGCCCCCGCATGACCAGGTGCGGCACCGGGGGCTGTGGGGCGGTCGCAAGGGCGGGCAGGCCGATCCTTGTGTTTCGGGAGCTGCCCGATCCTTGTGTTTCGGGAGCTGCCCGCCGTGCCTCCGCCCCGGCAGCGGGCGCCGTGTCGGGGCGGCGGGAAGGGCCGGCGCCCGTGGAGCCGCAGCGTGGGGCTGCGAGTGTCGGGGAGGAGCTGTCACTTGTCACTCTGTGCTGCTCCTCGCTGTGCCCCCATAGCGCCGTGCTGCTGCCGTGGCTTCTCTTCCCGGGCACTTGGATGTTCTGCATCTCTGGCAGGGTTCCTACGGCGGGACATGAGTTGGTCGCCGTCGTTGTCTCGCTTGCCTTGCATCTGTCGTCCCTAGCAGCCATCAGTGGCTTTCCCCGGGGTGCGGGCAAGCCGGAGGGATGTTAAAATGGAAAAAATTACTTTGTCTTAGATGGTGTGTGTGGAAACCTCACGTACTCGTGTTACTGCTCTGGTTCTCAGTCTTTATGATAGTTTTACTGCACGGCAGATAGGCAAATATGAACCAATAATAGTATATTAGAAAAATGTAGAATGGGCTAGGAAGGAGAATATAGAAGAGATCTGAGGTTAAACAAACCCAGGAATCTTTGAAGTGCAGTTCTGAAGTCTGCAGTTCTGCAGCAGATGCAGTTGCTGGCGGCTGGAGTCCCACCGCCTCTGCTGGCTGTGGTATTCTTTAGGCATTTGGAAATAGTTGCATATTGCACTGATAGGGACTAACTCAGTAGGACTAACACAGACAAAAACCGTGGTGTTTGCTGGATTAGTGCACAGAAGTGGAGGTATATGTAGCTTTGCTATGAGCCAAAAGTTGATGAAGCGTGGGGAGAGAAATTGAAACAACCAGCAATTAAGTCAGCATTTGCTGCCGTGAATCTCCAGCCTCCGTGTAGTGTGTTTCAGTCCATCACAAGTTCTAAAGGAAACGTTCTTCTGCCTTCAAAACAGATTTTTCTACTTTAAGGAACTTGTTGGGTTTTTTTTTTTAATGATGCTGAGCGTTTCAAGTAACTACTCAAAGTGATTTTATTCCATGTTCTGTGTGGCCTAGCATGTGTTTACAGGGGATGGCATTTTAGCTTAAATTCTCCATTTTCTTCATGTGCTGCAGAAACAAATAGATTTTCATATTTTCTTTCTCCTTTTCCTTTCAGCTCTGCTGGTATCTGTTCATATCATGAAAGAAGTGGGCTGTGTTCCATTCGTCTCAGTGAGCCGCTTCTAAAGTTACGGCCAAGGAAGGATCTTGTGGAGGTATTTGGACATGGCTTAAGAATCTGCACATAAAGTGTATTGTGCCCACCCCCCACTTCATACAAACATTTTAGATTTCATAGTGGGATTCTTTTATGCAGTAACTTACAGGTCATGAAATAGTGGTGGCTTTACTGTTACATTCATGTAGCTTGTGTCACAGTACCATGGTAATCTTTAGTTTTATGCTTCTAAGTGGGCAACTGCAAGTGGAAGTCTAAAGTCACTCGTTTATTTTATTGACTTTATATAGAGAAAAAAACCCCCAAGTTTTTAACTCCTAAATTATCCTTTAATATTCAAAGCAAACGTAGACTGTTAGTTTCTAAAGGGCCAACAGCAGAAAATAAGGATATAGGATATAACTTAACATGACATTTTGTTGCTCCTTGGGCCTCTGCCAGAGCTGGCTGGGCCTCAGCTGCTTTGAGCTGGCTGAACATTCAAGTTTGCCTAAGAACAGAAGTGCTGTAGACTTTCAGCTTGCTCACAAGTAGCTCTTTTTTCGGGGCCTATAGGGGATGATGTCTTTAAAGATGTGATTTAAGTTTGAAGATTATTTCTTCTTTTTGGAATGCTGCTTATTGGAGTGATATTATGCAGCATGTTTTAGTGATATTCAAGAAACAGGGATAATTTGGTTTGATAGATCAATTACGTTTTTATGACCCAGACCGAATATGTGAATATAATCAAAGATAAGATCAGTAACTACAATCTGTGTAGAAGAGTGAAATACTTGCAGCTTAATCATGAAACTGAAAATGCAATGCTTTTCAATGACTATCTAATGGTTGCATAATTTCAGACACTGTTGCACGAAATGATCCATGCCCTGCTCTTTGTTACTCATAACTACAAAGATCGTGAGTCTCATGGACCGGAGTTCTGCAAGCACATGCGTCGCATTAATCTCTTGACTGGAGCCAATGTCACAGTAAGAATAATCCTCTTTGCCTGATTTAACAGAGCTTTCTTCCTGGTTTGCTGTTTTAGTTAACTGGTGCAGAATAAGTAATGTTCTTATTAGACACTCCACAGTTGGTACCAATACAAATTTGCATCCAAGTGTGTGCCAGTGCCAGTTATTTGCTGGGGATGGTGGTGGGAACAGGTTGGGGAAGCTGTGGCGAGCTATTAGTGATGTAATTTTCAGGTATGTTCTCTGTAAGAAATTGTCTTTAAGCCTTTTTGGTAAACTAGAAAGAGCTTAAATGGTAGCAGGGACATAAATGCTCCATGTGAAGAGCAGTGAAGATTTATGTCAATAGAGGGTAATGATATTTATGTCAATATTTAAAAATAATATGTCTAATAAGATCAATTAAGGTAATAGCTGAAAGGAGAATACAATACTGGTATTGTTTGCAATGCATTCTAAACAGTTCATATTCTAGGTGAAACTGTAGATAGATTTCCAAAGTGATTTTATTGCAGTTCCAACAAGATAACCAGGACATATTCCTACACATCCTATCTTTTTTTTTTAAAGTTTTGTTTTAGTGGTAGCTAAATGTTGATCAAATTTTACTCAGGTCCAGCTCTTTTTACTGCTAATATAAAAATCACAGCAGTAGTGTAAGGAATTGAATGGAAATAGATTATTTAAAAAATATTATAGAGCTGGTGATATAAAATTTGTAACTTCCTGAATGACTGTTTTTTTTGTGGTTTTTTTTGTTTGTTTTTTTAAACATAGATCTATCACAATTTTTATGATGAGATTAATTTGTACCGCCAGCACTGGTGGCGATGCAATGGCCCCTGCCAAAGCAGAGCACCTTACTTTGGATATGTGAAGCGCTCCATGAACAGAGCACCCTCTGCACATGACTTCTGGTGGGATGAACATCAAAGGACATGTGGGGGCACATTCACAAAAGTGAAGGAGCCAGACAAATTCTCAGAGAAGTCCAAGCAGAAAACTCAGACAGCAAAACCTCCACATTTCAAGTCAACTAACAAAGGTATTTTATGATTTATTTTTTTTCTTTTCCAAACTGATTTTTGTCTGGATGTTTTCTTGAACGAATATGGACCAAACACTACATCAGCTTGGTTTAGGTGTTACTGTTACGTAGCCAAAGAACAGGGCCTATTTGTTTGTGCACTTCTAGGCTGCCCCTCAACTGAATTGTCTGCAAAAAGTTTAGTTTGATGCATTATTTTCAAGCAGCAGATTTTTTTTGTGTGAAGCAACTCAAAAAATAATCCCATGATTTTTTAATTAAAAAATTATTAACTTATTTTTTAATCTGATTTTGCAGGCAAGACACAAATGCATGGTAATTGCAAAGACCTGACTCCTTTCAGCGGGACAGGATATCGGCTTGGAGGAGGAGATGGTGTGCTTTCAGAGAAAAACACAAATGCCAGCAGTTCCACTGCAAACAGTGAAGCACACGGCTCACTTCATCCTTCAGCAGTAAGGACAATACCAATCCCTAAAAATGAGATAAAACTGGAAAAACTACCCCATGGCAGCATCTTTCCGCTTCATACCAATGGTGCCAGTGAGAAGAGCAACTTAGCTTTAAAGCGTGAGTTTCCGAAACTCTCTGCTGCTAATACAGAAGGTGACGAGAACGAGTGCGGATTGCCTGCTAGGATGGCTTGTGTTGCTGAAGAAACATCAAGCCAAGGCTCACCAGTTGGCAAGAGGGCTATGCCATCTTCTAACTGGTCACCAAAACGAATTTGTTTGGAGCACACCCCAAGAGCTTGGGGTGCATCTCAGAAAAAAAGCTTAGAATGTGTTAATACACTGCAGCAATGGCCAAAAAAGGAAGACAAAACTGCCTTTGAAAAGTATTTCAACAAAAAGGGGGGTACTGATGTTACTACAACCACAAAAACCAGGGTTGAATTTACACAGTCCTCTGCAAGTCCTAGCAATCCCGTGAGACAGGAAAGAAGAGTCAGTTGTCCTGTCTGTGAGACTGATGTTTTGGAATCTGAAATAAATGAGCATCTTGATTCTTGTCTTTCATAGAACAGCAGAAAGTTTCTTAAAAAGATAGACCAGGGCTGGAAACATTGTTTGAAAGGTAATTTTTGCTCAGGGTTTGCTTAGCTGTGGTTAAACTCCATGTGCCTGTTCTGAAATGAAATTTAAAATGTAGCTGACCTCCATATCCTCACAGTAATAAGTAAAAATTGTGTGGAATGCTGCTAGGAATACTGATAAAGACTGTTCCGGTAAAGACTGTTCCTGGACATGTCATAAAAGCTTTCATGATTTCCCAGTTGAACTTCCTTCAAGTGCTCTACAGGACAAATTAGGATTAAAGTGACATTACTTGCCAGTCTTTATTTTGCTTCTTCTGGAAGCCAGCCAGGTTCATGGTTAGCAGGCCAGTCAGTTGAGTACTAAAGCCGCTGTGCCATGAAAAGTTATGAGAAGCCTGGAAGCCAGGCAGGCACATGTGTTTCTTATGTGAGCTGCCTGAAAGTTTCTCTTGGTGCACTAAGGTATTTAATGGGTTAAGCATGAAACAGTAATTCCTTACAATCACTAAAACTGATTGTATGTTTGCTTAAACATAAAAATTCTTTTATATTAATAGCTTTTAAACAAAATAGTTTTATATCTTGTTACTGTAATTTTAAATGGCTGTACATGTTTACAGTGTTACTGCTGCTCTCTTAACTCACTTTAAATGCTTCATATTTTAAAAAATATTGACACTACAGAAGTTTAATGTAAATTACTTTGTTCTTGCATACTCTGAATAAATTGTTACTGAAGTTTAAATTTCCACTAAGCCTGGCCATTTTGTGTCCTTACCAGTGGGTTCACCTGTATATAACAGTCTTGTTTATTAGAGCCTTTCTGTATTAACATTTTTCCTTCTTAAATTTCCCTGTAAAAACAGGTGCTATTGAATACAGATTGCATCAGCTGCTGCTTTCTCCATCCTGTTTTCAAAACAGTTTCACTATTTTTGCACTTCTGTGAAAAATTTTATGAATACTGATAGTAAATCTTGCTTTGCCATGTTAATTTTCCATACTTCCTTCTTAAAGCTGCAGCCATCTATCAGTGCTTCCAGTGATACTTGACATTTTCAAGGACAGGACTACCAAGAAATATTTGTATTATCTTATGTTTTTAAGATGAGGGTGAGAGTTACACCACAAAGCATCTCTCACATTATGAAGCATTTTTGAGAGATATTTCCATTAAAATTGCTCTCTGCAGTTTCCTCATTTGACTTTCCTATTGTGACAGATGTGAGTAAAGGAGGAGGATTGTGGGTATTGCTAAATGTGTGGATTTTTCCCGATGTCTTCTTTTACTTCTGAATTTGAATGACAGAAAACAAATGAAGAATTTAGTGAATAGTGTAGCCTGTTGAGGGAGGGGGGAGCTTAAGCTGTAGGCAAGTCTGTCCCTCGTATACACATCCTAAAATAGATCATTGTCCAAACAACTGAGCAATTCTGGATTAGCTATGGAAAAATAGCACCTCTGTCATGTGTTTTTACAAGGAAGTATTCTAAGACTAGGATCTCTTTTATTCAGAGAGGAAGGCTTTGCAGTTACTATTGATTGCAGGCTGTTTTAATGGGTCATGGCCACCTTCATTTTGAGTATGTTACTACAAATGCTGTTTCTGTGAAATGTTGTGCTTGAATACAGTGTCCTGCCCACAAGGATAACAATGACTACCAGTATGTTTTTTAAATACGCTGCTCAATTTTGGTCAAAGATGAGAAATTCCATCCTCTCTATCAGCTTTGTCCTTGAGTGAGTTTAGATACTGCCTGGAACAACACACACTGTCAGTGTTGAGCCTTAAACAAACCCACTTCACTGAAATGCAGCCTAGGTTGCCTGAATGGAAACTTGAGAAACAAGTTAATAGGTTCTATTCCTGAGGCAAAGCAGCTGTGAAGGAGGGTCAGACGTGTGTGTGCCTTTTGTCAATAGAAGGTTCTGCAAACTAAAGGAAAAAGCCTTCTCATTTTGTGGTGACCTACTAGGATTGCTCTGGATAATTCAGAGAGGAGTTCCAGAGGTTAAAACTGCCAAATGGAGTTTACTTGGCCCTTTCATTTTTATCAGAAGAGGCTGCTCTTCAGTTGCCTTGAAACTGGTTATCAGGCAAGAAATCTTGAAGGTTGAATATTAGCAAGTATTTTTTACTTTGTGGAAATGTTACCTAGGAAGTTTTCATAATACTTGAGTTCTGATGAAGCAGCGGGAAGAATTTTTCCTCAGGGCTACTAAAATGTATTAGTGTCTTGCAAGAAGATATGCAATATAAATAGTCTGGTTTAGAACATATTTTAGCAGCAATAGTGTGTGTTCATGTCTCCTTTAGTCCAACCTCTATTTGTTTTCACCTGGCATATCTGGGTCACATGGGAGAAGTGTGTTCTCACAGTCAACCCTAATGCCGGTGCATAAGCTGATGAGGAGGCTATTTACATCTGGGTGGAAGCAGGCCCCTCAGGCAGGGCAGGCCCTGCTGTTCACAGAGTTGAATCGGGACCTCGGTACTTGAGCCCCCTTTCTAGGAACATTTTCCAAGTGAACAACTAGAGGAGTATTGCTCATTTGGAACAGGCTGTGCTACCTGCCTCTGGGCCAATGTAATGAAGGTCATCAGGTAATAATCTAGTACAAAATTAAAGGCTAGAGAGGGCTTAGACATACCTGGACAAGAAATTAATAATTCCTGAGGTGCAAAGTAGCTGTTCAAACTTCCAAATTCCCTTGGTGCAGCAGGAGGACATGCAATAGACTAAATGGCTCGTGAGGATTTTCTTCCTCATGTATTCTTCTGGAGCCCCTCAGTTCTCCTGCATTTTCCATACACATAGCATCTCTTCAAGTAAAGCAAGACACACTTTGCTGAAGGGTTAATAGCAAGAAGGAATCAACAAGAAGTTTCTGAGAAAAAAGACCGATGGACGTCTCTTCCAAGGGGGTGGAGCAATCCATGGCGATGGTGGTATGGTGCAGACTACTCTGGCTGGAGAATGTTAACAAACTGTCACCACAGCAGTTTGCCTCAGCACTGCTGGGTCTGGTCATCCTAGAACACCATGTCTGTGCCTTTTGTTGAATCCTGTCACCTTAAACACTAAAAGGTTGGACCGGGTGACCTCGTGAGGTTACACCTGCCCACATACCCCTGTGAGCATCTTTGTTGCAGCCTGATGATGGCAGCAGTGCAACTGCTGGGCTCCAGCAGCTGCTCCCTAACAGAGCCAGCATTCTTCAGTCTTACACTCCAAAATGAAATACCCAAGTTCTTACTTGCATCTGCATTACTACTGCTCTCTTGAAGCCTTGGGATTTAAGAAACTATTTTTTAAAATATGAATGTAAAGACTCTGCACAAAAATTACCCTTGAAGTGTGGTTTGTGGGCAGACAGGCCATGAAAGAGACTTGCATTTCAGTACATGTGAAAATATGTGTGTGTGTGATTTCATAGACTAATGCGTATGGAAAAAAAAGTTAAGACCCCAGAAGCTTTGTGTGGAGCTTTGGGATCCTTCAACAGGCCGTTAGGTGGCACTCCTTGCACGTAAGGAATTCTTATTTCGTCCTCTAACGTGTGCGGGGGGGAGAACAGAGAGTGCAGGACTGCAGGCTCGTATTTCACCTACCCTGAGCTCCAGACTGAACGTGGACCAGCAGCAACCCTGACTGGGCCACACACAAGCTAAAGGAGGAGGAATAGTGCTGGTGGGGGGGAAACATCTGCACCTTGCTGGGAAATGAAAAGTAAATTCACAGTTTACTAGATTCCGTGAGTGATTCTTTAGCACTGTTGCAAGGACTGGGAAGATGAGAGAGTATCTCGTTTTTCCACTTCAGGGCTCAGGAGTAAGCCCAAAGGCATCCTTTTGTGGGTTACACATACCGCACTGCTTGCATTCGTTGCAGTGACAAAGCTCATTTTCTGTCACCATTTGGCATCAACACAGCTCTGCAAGACACGGAGGACAGAGTTTTAGGAAGTCAGAGGGGTTTATAAAAAGCCAGGGAGCCAGAGGGGTGTAACAGGCCCAGGGAAGGGTAGTATACTATAGGTGAGAAAGCTTAAATGGGATGTGGCCATGGCCTTAATTCCTGTTTCCTTTTAGCTTCTGCCAGGCCAGGCTGCTTTAAGACTAGATTAAATTTCTAAGCAGGTGCAGCAGCTTGGCCTCGATAGCTCACTCTGTCTCTGTTCCATCCATCACCTTTCATTTACATAATTTCACCTGCTCTTTTGCCTTAGTATGTCTTGGACGTGACATTTCCTAAACTGTATAACAAAGAATTTTTGAAGGGGCAAAACCCAACAAGTCAAGTATTTGGCTTCACCATTGCTTAAAAGCAGAGATTGCTTTATTTCTCTTTAACTGATGTCAATCTTTGGATCATAGTTTTTGTATTTATTGCAAGTACCTTCTCTTCAGAGAGCCGTCACTAGTGGCATAAAAAGTCTGGGGCAAGATGTGGGCTAGAGCTCAATGAAGGCCTGGTTCAGGATATGAGCTATATTATGGTTTAGTTGGAGGTTTTATTCTTCTTGTGGCCTCAGTAAGCAATTTACAATGGCAGGAACGGTCATAGGGCCCCTCTGCTCTTACCCCGCTTTCTCCCCACTATGTTGCTGTCCTTCCTTTGTTTTCCCACTGACACTGGTCTCTTCCCTGGAGCATCCCAGTAATGATCTGCTTGCTTCCCAAAGGATCCCCTGAGTGGGTGTGCTGCCACTGATCCATAAGCAGTTTTTGATTTGCCGGGAAGGTGTTGTGTTTGCAGGCAGGCACAAAACTGAAGTGCAAGTGACTCACTTGGAAGGTGGCCTCCTGCAGCTGCCAGTGCAGCCTCCGCAGGGTGGCACAGGGCCTGGCTGCAGCACCAACAGCAAGCAAAGCTCCCTGGTGTGTCACAGGGCTGGGCACAGGCTGCTCCGGGTACTGCGGCTCCGGAAGGACACGGCACAGATCTGGGCTCCTCTGGCAGATGGCAAACAGAAACATAACCAAAGGGAAGAGTCATCCTGAGGATAAACCAACATCCCAGGGGCTTCAGAGAGGATGGCACCTGTATCAGGTGCCAGGATTATGGATAGCTGCAAGTAAGGGACTCTGGTCTTAAATCTGCTGTGTTCCCCAGGCTGTGCTGCTAAGAATCCTTTGGGTTGTTCCTTTGATTTACATTTAGCCGTACCTACATGGGAAATTTAATTTAAAGAAGAGAAAAAAATTTCATTCAGCTAGGGTGGCTGAATATGGGAAGTGGTTTTCTGCAGAGGTTGTGGAGGGTCCATCCTTGAAGATACTTAAATCCCAACTGGACATGGTCTTAGGCAACCAGATTTGGGTGACCTTGTTAAAGGGCAGGAGAGCTGGACCAGACCACCTTCAGGAACCCCTTCCCACATAAACAGCCTTGGGTTTCCACCTAACAACCCCAGGAGCACTTCAGGTCAAATTGAAATTGCAGTTGAAGGCAATTAAGGTCCACCTGCTTGCCCTTGCCCTGGTATATCCCAGAGGTGCTCACACCCTCTCTTACCATCAGCTGACTTCCAGCTGGGCATTTCTTCCTCTCCCTGCAAGGTTTGGCGTGGGCAGCTCTCATCACTGCCACCATGCAGACCGTGGGGATGGGGGATAAGTCTCCTGTCACAGGCATCAGAGACCGGGGGACTTCAGGCAGGAGCTGGGCAGGTGCCATGACACAGGGACAGGTACAAGGAAGCTCTGCCCTGCCAAGCCTAATTGCTGAATCCTCTCCAAGCCACACTGTGGGGGGGAGGATTATCAGCCCTGCAAACAGCACAAATGAAAACTCAGACTTAATTAACTTTGAATGTACCTAGAAGAGATTTAGAATGCCAGAAAAGCATCCCATGAGAAGAAATAGGAGGTATTTTGTGCACTGCAAAAGCCTATCCAAGCTATCAGGCAGCATTTCCCAGGCAATATGGCAGAGTTAAGACAACTCTTCCAAGAGGTCTCACTGCTGACATTTGGGCTTAGGCCTGGGCCATGAAATGCCATGTTGCTGAAGCAGACACACATCCCAAGTGGTAAGCAATGCCATGACTTTGGAGCTGTTTGCAAGGTGTTACGGACACAAGTGTTGAACACAAGCATCCCCTGAAGGAATGGGGAGCCCTCAGTTTGAAGGAAAACACTGAAAAGTCGTTGCCTTAATGTCACCTTCCTTTTAATCCCTGCACAGGCTCCAGAAACGTTATCTTCTCCAAATCAATTCTGCAGTACTCCCACCCTAAACAATGCCCCTCGCATCCTCAGCTGTGCACAAACTGAACCATACAGAGGCTGCAGCCAGTCCATGCACACCCTGCAGCAGATATGGAGGGAAACACTGCCTTAACTTCTTCGGGAAGAGGAGAGGGAGGGAGGCTTCTGCTGTTGGGCAAGCCTCCTCACCCAGCTATGAATTGTTACAGGATGGGTTGAGCCAGCCCTCAGCATGTTTTCACTTGTGGATATGGGTGTGTGCTGAAGTGACACCATTTTTAGGAGACTGACAAGTAGACGTCCTGTCCATGAAACCTGCAGCAGCTTTCAGTCTCCTTCTCTCTACCTCTCTTCAGCAGAAAGACTACCCAAGCCTGGTGTAAAGCTGTTGCTGGGTGGCTGTTGCATGGTTAAGGGACTCTAATGCAGCGCCAGGTGAAGGGTATGTCCCATGAACTGTCGTGGTTCAGCTGTGTCATGTATATCCTGACCACCTCTGCAAAGGACAAGGAGCAATTCAAGGTTAGTTGGCCTCCCAGAGACAGCAGCTCAGCACACAGAGCTTTTGTCAGGCAGCACCAACTCAGGGCAGGCAGCAGCACCAGCCAGAGCCTGTGCTGCAGCCATGACTTGGTAGCCACTATTCTCAAGGCATTTTGTGCAGCCAGAGCTTGGGTAGCACCTGACCACCTGGAAAGGCAGCCACCAGCCTGTGACCAGCTGTCACCTCACAAACAAACCCCACCCCAAATGTTTTCCTCAGCCAAGCACGTTACAATTTACTCCAACCCCCACTCAAAGGACACAGCAGGAGAGAAAGGCCTGCAGCTCATTTGACAGCAGGTGGGACACTGCTCGGGGAGCCCTGGAAGGATGCAAAAGCACTGGGGTAGCAAGGGGCCGGAGAGGCCCCCAGGCACATGTGGGAGCGGAAATGGCAAGGTTGGAAGCAGAGCAGTTGCTCTCCAGGCACTCTCACATGAGGAAATGAGCAAATTTTCAAACCTACTATAAACACTGGAGGTGTAACCACCCCCATCCAACTTTCCCCACTCCTCCATTCCTGCCCCAGTGAATTTTTATTTCACACAGCATCCTCCCCCTGTAAGAGAGCAGTGTGTCTCTGTCACCTCTGGGACACAAGGAATGTGTTTTTCTGCTTTGGGACGAGGCCTTATCCTGGCTGTGACACAGCAGGACCCCACCTGCTCTCTCTCCAGTCCCACGAGCCTGAAGCATTTCTGCATCCCACTCCTAGTGTCCCAGTCACAGCCTGGCCACAGCTGGGCCCCTGCTCCCCACCTGCCCTCTTGGATTTGTACAAGCCTTGGGTTCATCGTGAAGTACGTGCCCTCCCTCCTCATCTCATTGCATAATGTTCCATGGTTGCAGAGCTACAGCAACTCTCAGCTAGATACAGTCATTTCCTAATGTGCTATTTTAAATAAAGGGTTAAAAAACCCCCAAAAAAGAAATCAAACAGCTATAATGTTCTTAAAGTGCAGGTGGGAAAAAATAAAAGTAGTCAAAGAAGTTTCAAAGTTGCTACCTACAGGAGTTCTTCAAGATACAAGAAATATTTAGGATTGAAGAGTTAACTTTGTACAGTTTCTGCTTGTTCATTAAAATATGACTGTGCAGAACACGTGTCCAGCACCACATTACTCACTATTATGTTGTGGCTGGGGAAGGGGAAGCAAAGCGAAAATAAATATGCCTAATGTGACAGCTCAGACTTTGCTCTTTGCTATCGAGGACACCATCAACTGGACTCAAATCTCAGAAAACAGATGGTTATTACCCGCAGCCCTCTGGCAAACATCAGCGGTGTCCACAATCACATTTTTCCTGAGGAAATATTCTCTTTGACGTCCAAAGATGTTCTCAAGTGATCCTATAAAAACAGTTCTGAAGTATCTTTTGGCTCTGGTAACTCACAGTACAGCACTCACCAAAATTTTACTTTTCAGCTCTAGGGGTGGTGGCATTTAGTTTGTTTCTGTAGTGGTTGGTTGATTCACTCCTATCTTACTGCATGAAAAAAATTCTCAGGATTCCAACAGCCATTAATCCAGTCCCAAAATCCTAGTTTCCTTCTGTTCCTTAGAGCTGCCACCATGTCTTCTGCTATAATGCAATCTTTTTTAATACTTTATAAAGCTTGCTTACATGCAGTAATGTAAGCAAGACACATTTACAACCAGTGACTTGCCTCCAGGTAGTTTTGAGAGGTTTTTATTCTTGGCTTTTTGGTTGACCCTTGCTTTCTTTAGGTAGCAAAATACAACTCACAACCCAATATGATATTCAGGCACTAGGCTTTTCATTTGTGAGTAAGAGTCAAATCTCTACACTTTAGTTATGATGAGTTCATCTTTTTGCTGTTAAATAAAATAAAACAGAACCACATCAGCCCTTGAAACAAACCCAGGAGAGGAACTGGTTCCACCCTGGCAAACCACGCTGACAGAGACAGACAAGCCCACAAGGAGCACTGGATATTCAGAATATTCAGAGTGAAATTTTACTTCCCGTTTCCAACAGTATTTTAAAGAAATAATGGGTTTCAGTTCAGACACTGCCCTGAAGCATGTGCCTTTTATCACAGCTTGTCTGCATGTGATTCTGGTAAGTTGTTAGCCCATCTCTGTGTTTTACATCCCTCCCACTCTGATGTGAGGCATGCCCTGCAAACTTTTAGCCATATGGAAAGGATGGTACTGGGCTTAGAAGCTGAACGAGCCAGTCACCACTTCCAGCATTTATTGCCATGTTACAAAGGTAGTTACAACAACTTCTCCAGAAGACCCCATAAACTATTACCATTAGAAGTTGAATCCTAAGCTACTTATTTAATAAGGGGAAAGTCCAACAACCTACTTTTGGTATACAGACAAGGAAACCACTCCTAGTTCAAGTAAAGTTATGAACATCTCATCTTCAGAGATAAAAATATGCTTGTTTGCAACACACATGCATGAAGAAAAGGACGGATGGGTGCATCAACTGTCTTTTCGGAGACAAACATTTTGTGCATTCTTTTCCCCCACACTTCATGTTCCTCTCAAAGCAGACACCTATAGTATATTTTTAATTGGACTGTCCCATATTCCTCATACCCATCCAACATGTTGTATCTTGGTCTCATGCGCCAGTCTCTTCACATCCTACCTTACCATTTCTATTCAACTCGTTACCTCCTCCCTCTCCTGCTAAAGACTTGAGCCTATCCCCAACGGGTTGGCAAGTTACATCTCATCTGTCCCTTCCACTTTCAGAGCCAACTCATTTGGGAGCTGTGAGTTTGGGGTTCTTTTTTTGTATTTCAGGAAAGAGACAAATGTTCTGTATATTCACTCAACTTCAAAGCCATGAGGAAAAGCTTAATGAAACTCAGTAAGTGGTAGTAAAAGTCAACAGAGCAAATTCTCTGGAACTGGTTTTTTCTGGTAGGAGAGAGGACCTTGAAACCTGCTTCTGTCAGCTGCTATCCACCCCTAACAGACAGGGCCAAGCAACTCTGATGCAGCAGATGTTCCAGAGTGAACACAGCTCCTGTACAAACAGACTTCAGTACATGTGCAGTAATTACTTACATTCAAGCTTTGAATGTGAAAAAAGAAAAAAAAAAGCTGACAATGGGAGACCCAGGGATCCATGCTTTGACCCCCATCCCCTCCCAACAGTAGGTGAGATCCAAATCCAGCTAAGACCCATGAATTTCTTCAAAGTCTTTGCTGCTCAGTACTCATAAATTCCTATTAAGTATTTGCAAGAGCATGCTGCTATCTGCATGCCTGCAGGCAAGGCACAGATGTGAGACTCCAGGAATTTTGCGACTTTGAGTTTGCTCTCATCACTTGGCATTCTCCCCTCTTCTTCAAAGCATGCACAGAAATGGCACTTTTCAGTCTGGCTGTACTTACCAGTATGAGGGAGATGTGATTTTTCCACTCCTGACCTTGAAGTGGTCAGCAAAGCCAGATGTTTTACATATGATACAGGCTGTCAGCTCTCAAATCTGCAAATGTCTTTTCTGAGAAACACCCAAGAAAAACACTTTATTTTCCCCAGTGTAGTGTTTAAATTTACTATGCAAAACAATCCCCCTGCATATTGTGCTCAACCATGTGATAATTTAAAAAACAAAACAAAACCCAAACCAGGTCTACACAGGATGGTTGCAAGAAAGGCTTCTTCCTTGTTCAGGGTAAAACTAGGATGGAGAAGAGGTACTTTCAAGAAAACTTGTAAGAAGTTATGCAGCATTGAACATGGAAAAAGCTTCAGAGCATTTTGCCATCAACTCAGTGCTGCTATACTTGTGTTTCAACCTAACAAAATGCCAAGAACCACCACTTTAGAGCAGAAATGTGCACAACTGGCACCCAAGTGCCATGGCAGGTGCACTAATGCTGGAGACTCATCTGAAGATCCAGGTAACTCTTTCTGAACCAGCTGAAGACAGACAAGCACATGCAGGGGGCTTCACAGAAGTTAGAGTGATGTCAGAAGCACAGCCAGACAGCTGTTTCCTTGACAACCA